CCCCCCCCCCCGTGAAGGCAGAGACCAGGCTGCCTGCACAGAGGCTGGAGGAGGTGATGGATTCAGGGTGGAGGGTGGAGAAGGTTTGCATAGGCCCGTGGGGAATGCGGGGAGGTGGGGGAGGATTTCTGGGCCGCACGGCAGCGCCTCTTCAGGTGTGAGGCTTTCTTTTCCAGGGGAGCTCAGCTGGCGTCGGGGCAGGGAAGGTGGCTGGAGGGCATCCCAGGCGATGGGAAGGGCAGGCGTGGAGGGCATCCCGGCGGGCGTGGGGAGTTCCACGGTGCTCACCTTGCTTGCACCCCAGATTCTCTCGATGGCTGTTGCTGCATCTGCGCTCACTTGGTTCCGATGCGTCCGAAACAGCGTTCGATTGAGCTGCCATCTCAATGAATGAGACTCTCACTTGTACTGCTGGTGCGTGTGCTTCTGAAAAACACTAAACTCTGCTCTTTCTATACAGTGTGAAACTGCAGCACAACAGGAATTTGCTGAAGAGCTTCAAAAGCGAGAACGTTTTCTGGCTGAGAGAGAAGAGCTGCTTTTCAGACATGAAAGTGCCTTGAATAAAATTAAAGGTGTCAAAGAAGAGGTTCTTACAAGGTTCCAGGTCTTGAAGGAGGTGAGCGCATGGCGCTGACTTTAGCCTGCAGGGCCGTTCTCTGCTTTGGGCTCCCTGCTCGTTCGCATTTGCACGTTTGCTCAGCCTTCCCGCCCTCACATTTTCTCCTGGACCAGTTGCAGGTGGGTTGCAAAAATCAGGGCCCAGCACCCTAAGTTCTTCTTCCGTGCTGTGAATTGCCTCAGAATGAGGGTGTTCTCCACACCATTGTTGAACAGGAAATGCATATGCTAATTACATAATTTAACTTAAAATACATACACAGTCCACACTCACTTTCCCAGTGGGTCCCCAGATTGTCTTTTATTGCTCTTTGTTTTGTTCTCTGATCAAGGAACTAGACGAAATGCAGGCAAATCTCATTGGTTTCTCTGGATCTAGAGCAATCCACGTCACCATTTTGCTTTTTCTGAGGCTTTTCTTTGAAGATTTTTGGCCTGTGGTCTTAAAGAGTGTGTCTTATTCTGTATTTGCCTGATTGTTTCATAATGTTTATATTCAGATTAAATATTTTTATCGAGACTGTCAGGTAGGTGGTACGGTATTGTTCTTTGTTTCCTATCGAGAGATGGGTTACTATACGTGCAGCTTATATAGAGGAGAATTTACTATTTGTTTGGAAAGCGCATGCAGTCTCGCGATGGGCGCCGTGATCAAGAAGAGTAGTCCCGGCCCCCAGGGTTCCCACGTGCTCCTCGCAGCTGTCCGTCCCCCCCCCCACCTCCCCGCACCCCCAGCAAGCACCCTCCCCCACCTCCCACTTTGCTGTCACCCCGCAGGTTTCTGAGTCTGTTCCTCTCTCCAGTCCTTTCCTTGTGCGTCCTTCAGATTTGAACACGGGATCACGGTTTCTTCTTTCATTTCCATGTTGCACTTGATCTCGTCTAGAGAATTGTTTTATTTCTGGCATTTTAAAGTTCTAAATGTCCCGATTATTTTCAATTTTTCTCGTGAGAATTTCTGTCTTTCCATTTGCATTCACTGGCATTTGGAATTCAGTTAAAAATCCCACCGTAGATCACCTAAGGGTTGGCATTTTTCTTGAAACCTAATCACATTTTTCTGGTTCTTTGTATGTGCAGTGAGTTTGGGATTGTCTTCGGGACCTTTTGGATATTATTAATTTTGTATAGATTCTGGATCCTTTCATAACACTCTGGAGAATGTTGGTTGTATGTATTCATTTCTTAAGCAGTGAGCCCAGTGGGTTGAGGCTGAGTGTTTTCTCACCGTGTGGGCTGTGCCCCCCTCGTTCTGTTTCCAGAGCCTGTGCTGTTGCTCTGGAGCCTGTCATGCAGGCACCGCTGGGGGTTCTCAGCCTTTGCTGTGATGCTCTGGGTCTTTAAGGTGCCTACGCGCAGGGGGGCTGTTTTTAAACTGAACTCCTGTCTCTGCCCCTTTGCTCTGCTGCTTTCGCCGGCTCAGGGCTGATCCAGATTTGAGCACATTCCTTGGCTCCTGGGGTCCCCCTCTTCCTGGTTTCCCAGCCCTGAAAAGCAGTTTCTCTCCAATTAGCTGTGTCTGGGGCCTGCCCTGGGGCAAGACTGCAAGGGAAAACGAAACCCGGGAAACTTCAGCCCCTTGATGGTTTCTCCTCCAGGTTTTCCCTCCTTTCTCCTATTCCCTGCCTTTGTTTCCCTTTGACATTCCTTAGGTAGTTGCTTTTTGTGTTTTGTGTATGGTTTTTAGTTGTAATTAGTTGTAATTGGTAAGAGAGGCAGAGTGCAGTGGGCTTATCCCTCTGGAAATGGAACCCATGTCATACATTTTTTTTTTTTTTTTTTTTTTTTGCGGTACGCAGGCCCCTCACTGCTGTGGCCTCTCCCGCCGCAGAGCACAGGCTCCGGACACGCAGGCCCAGCAGCCATGGCCCACAGGCCCAGCCGCTCCGCGGCATGTGGGATCCTCCCGGACCGGGGCACGAACCCGCGTCCGCCGCATCGGCAGGCGGACTCCCAACCACTGCGCCACCAGGGAAGCCCCATGTCATACATTTTTAATCTCTTCTGGAGGTGGAAGATTTGTACAGTGAGAATGTTAATCTAATTTTTAAAATACGTATAGTATATGTGACCATATCCTAAGTTATTTAAGGAGTCATTTAACGTAATAATAAAGTTGCATAAAGCTAATTTTTTTCACAAGCTTGGATTTTTAAACAGGCCAGAAGAATGAATGCTTGGATTCTCAGCGCTCTCCATCCCAGTTTTAGCCTTGATGTTTTTCTCTTTGGATTTGTCTGTATGCTACTTGTAATAAGTATAAAGCTAACTGCTTTATTTTAATGGAAACTAGATGATTACTTGAAAGAAGGAAATTAACTCAGTTTCTTGACTTCCTGTGGAAACTTGCTTGTTTTAATACATTACGCATAAATTTGAGAGTAAAAGGTGAAAGAAACTATATAAGTATTCACAATTTAAATCTAAAAGTGCTCTCATTTAAATGGAATTAGAGGGGAAATTGATTTTAATCATTTATAAAACTGGTTAAGGAAAGTCGAATAGTTTGGGGCTCAGGAAATTTTATTATGTATTTAAGTTTTTTGAGATGTACAATTTTAGCTAATTTATGAGAACAAGAAGTTAGTTTGTTCTGTCTGTGGAATATTACCTCTACTCCACAAGGGTAATTTAAACCTTAAATTTTAATTCACAAAGCTATGAATAATTAACTAGTCTCTGAAAAGGATCAGAAATCCTTCATTGTTTTATCATTCCATGATGTCAAATAGAAATTATTTCGGTGTGTTTCCGTTGTGGATTTTTCTGAGCAGAAGCAGAAAGTAGCCTTATTGCTAATTAATTTGTGTAATATGTTTTAATAGGTATTTAACATATGCTTTTAATGCTTTGTTATTAGTTTGGTTGATTATACAGTTTTTATAAGTCATTTGCATTATTAGTCGTTATGCTTAAATACACTGATTAAAGTCCATGTGATTCAAGGCGATTTACTTTTAATTAATTTATGTTCAGTGGCATTAGTGACATAGAATCTGTATTTTTTCCCTCCTAGCAACATGATGCAGAAGTTGAGCACTTAACTGAAGTTCTTAAGGAAAGAAAGAAAGAAAGCAGGAGGCTAAGGTTCTCTTTTGCTGCATTGAAAGAATTGAATGATAGCTTAAAAAAACAGGTAAGACCTATTTTATCTATATTAGCTTCTAAGACATTCTTAGAACTATATAGATTAACAGGTTGTAAGTCAAAATCTTAGAACATATTCTGGCTAGAGAAAACCTTGATTATCTGTATTTGTTACCTTTATTATAAAATACTTGCAAATATAAATAAAGTATTCTTAAGCCCTTGGTTTCTCATCATCTGTTCTGACAACCAGCTGAGATGTTTGACAACTTGAAATTTTTTAAACTGTTAAGAGCAATGACTAGATTAAAAACAAGCAAAAGAAAACCTGCCAACCTGGGTACTTTAGGCGCTGGTTTGTAGCTTTGTGCTGTTCTTGCACCTGCTGTCACACACCACTCTTTGGAGTGTCTGTGATGTGTTGATCCTGTGCTGGGGAGTGTGAGCTCATGCCCACTGTGTCACAGTGCGCTGCCCTTACGTATGTGAGTGCCGTGGTTTAGCTCCGTGCTTAATAATACTCAAGTAGCACCAAATCCTTAGGAGTTGTACTTTTTTCTTGCACTTCCCTTTGCCACCTTTTGTCTGAAAGATGTGAAAGTGACGGGCGCTGTGGACGAGGGAGAGGAGGGTGAGTGTGGGTGTTCGTGGGAGGGAGGCGCAGACGAGCAGAAGCGGGTGAAACTCGTCACTCTAGTGGCTAAGGCCTTGGGCTGGGGAGCTTCGTGGGTTCCAACATGTTGGTGAGTTCGTACTCTGAGAGAGCTGGGCTCCTGGAATCCCTTGGCTAGCTGTGTGTTCTTCACTACTTGTTACGACCTTTCCCCTTGGCAGTGATAACCAGGTCCCCCATTTCTCACTTCACCTGATGATCTGGCTTCTCTGAATCAGGTCTAACGTCCCACAATTAGCGTGTGACCTTGACTCACTGTTGTCTGGGAGCCTCCTTATCCCGGAGAGACTGCTTTTTCCCATCACAGTCTTAGGCGAGCACTCTTTTTTGAGAAGGGTTTCTTTAACTGCTAGTGTAGGTGCATTGTTGCCCATACCTGTCTCTTAGGTGGATATAATCCTTGATAATCTTGCGTGTCTTTGATGAGTGTGTGGTGACGGGAAGTGTGCATTATTACGAGTTTGAACCTATTGATAGGAGTGGGGAAAGGTTGAAAAGTTCACAAGAGAGGCGTGTGGGACATAATGAAGTTTAACACGGGAGTTCCAAAAGTAGTTAATAAGGCAGAAATGTAATATGTGAAGAGGTGACATCCAAAGCTGGTGAAAGATGCCAACCTGTAGATTCTAAGAAATTCTGTTAACCCTAAGCAGGAAAACCATATAGGCACGCTATTTTAAGACGCGAAGACTTTAGATAAAGATAAAATCAGAGAGAAATAAGACACTTTACCTTCAAAGAAGGAGCAGTAAGACAAATGGCTAACTTTTAAGAAGGAACTATCATGTACCTTATTTACATAAACAGAAAAAGAGAAATGCTCCCTTTCTTGTTGTATGAGGCCAGCATAACCTTGAAACTAAACCTGTCAAGAACATCACAAGAAAAAAAAAATGCAAGCCAGTCTCCCATGAGTACAGATGCAGAAATTTTTAATATCAGCAAATTGAATCCAGAGGTACACAAAAAGTGTAATACAACTCAGTGGACTTGGTCCAGGAATACAGGGTCATTTATCATTTGAAAATTAACACATCATCTGATAAAAGGAGAAAAATCATATAATTCCTTGTTTTAAAATTCAGCACCAACTCAAAGATAATAACTAGTAATAGAACTTAATTCTCATAGAGTACCTACCAGAAAAAAAAAAAAAACCAACTTCTGAATCACACTTAATGTAAGTTATTGAAATCTTTTCCCTTGAGATCAGAACAAGATAAAGGTGCTCACTGTTACTGTTTTGTTGAACTTTGTGCTGCAGTCCTGGTTAGTGCAGTGAGGAGAGGAAAGTCAGGGTCGGGAAGGAAGAAATAAGAATTATCCTCCGATGACATGATTATGCACAGATGCAGTAAGTATCCAAGTGAGCATACAGACAAGTTATTAGAATTAAACAAATTTAGGAGAATCTTTGGATATAAGTTCAGTATATAAAATATCAAGTGTATTTCTGTATATCAACCGTAATCAAGTAGTGAATGTTTATTGAAAGATACTATTGGTAGTAGCATCAAAAAGCATTGGATATCCAGGAATAAATCTAAGGAAAGATTATACATGTGTAAAACATGCATACTGAGGAGTGCAAAATGCTATTAAAAGCAACTAAAGAGGACCGAAATAAGTTGAAGGCTATGTTATGTTCAGGGATGAGAAGACTCAATATGGTAAAGATGTCGGTTTTCCTAAATTAACAGATACATTTGCTCCAATCGCAGTAATTCGTTGTGATATTTAACGATTTGTACACTTCTCTGTACATACATACTTCAATAAAAAGTTCAACTAAAAGACGTTTCCTATTAGAATGTATACATGTAAGATGTTAGGAGACTTGCACATTTTTCATAGAATGAAGTAAACTTTCTTAGAAACTCTTAATGTTTTAGGACCAAATGGTGGTTTTAGCTGTGATCTTCAATCATGGACGCTCCCTCAGTCTGTTATGTTATGTTGCTTGGTAACACAGACTAGATAAGACAGTACACTGGGAAAGCTTCAGTAGGAAATCGGCTTGAGGTTTGTATTGAAATATCTGATGTTTTCCTACTTTAGTTAAATGAAGTAAGTGAAGAAAACAGGAAGTTGGAGGTTCAGGCTAAAAGAGTTCAAGCTCGTTTAGATAATTTACAGGTAAGGTACCTGCTGTCCTCTTGAGACACAAGTGAAATTTAAAATGACTGCCTTTGGACTTTCTCACTTTTAATATAATTTTCTTTTAATTCACGGATCTGTACTGTCACAGAGGAAGTATGAGTTCATGACGATACAGAGATTGAAAGGATATCCCCACGCCGCTCACGAAGCAAACAGTTTAAAACGGGAAAAAGTACCAGTTTCAAAACCTCATAAGGTATGATATGATTTCTCCATTGGAAAGCCGGGACATTTTTCTCTTCCTTATTTTTTTTTTCCCTTTAGCAAACATTCTTCTTGGTGTGAAAGGATTCACTGTGATAATTTTGTAGAGGAGTATCGCTGTAATATTTCAGATACGCTTTTGTTTGCAAAAACAAAACAAAACGTTTAGCTGCTAAGAATATTCATGTGTAAGGCTTCTTGGGGACATGTGTTTTCATTCCTCTTGGAAATATAGCCAAGACTGGAATTTCTGGGTCATAAGGTAGAGGTATATTTAACTTTTGGGGCAACTACCAGTTTTCCAAAGTGGTTGTACCATTCATACTCCTGCTAGCACTGTGTAGACAACTTTGCTAAAAAGTTTGCTGTCAAGTTTTATGGCAACAAAAAACATTTGGTGTTTTCAGTCTTTTTCATTTTGACCTTTCCAGTGGGTGGGTAGTGATACCTCACTGGGCTTCAGTGGTTTTGATAAATGCTGTAGTTTTTCATAAAGTGAACTGGGCGGATGGCCCTGTTTAAGGATGGCAGTGGGAGCCCCAGCAGCAGAGGCGGGATTTGCCGTGGGACGGGCACCGTCTGGCCTGTGACTGGCCGGTGAGGATCAAGCAGGAGCCGCCGCGCTCCCAGCCCTGCGCAGGGGTCCACGCATGGGACCTCCTCGACGGGAGGCCGGGGGCCTCATCCGTCCACAGGGCCAGGCCTGGGGGAGCTGATTGTGCCGAGCTCTCGGGGCCCCCGCTTGGCGGTGCTGCGGGGTGTCAGCAGGGAGGTGCCGTGGCTCTGGGCCATGCTGCCGAGAGCACAGAGGACCTGGCCTGCGTCCCCTCCGGCACCTGCGGTGGGAGGTCAGCTCGGGGCGTGCTGTCGACGTGGGGCGGGGAGGGAGCCAAGCCCACAGCATTGCTGGCCTGGCCTCCACGTCTCGTCCAGGAGGAGCACGGCGGCCACAGCAAGGGCGGCAGCACCGGCCGCATGGCTCTCCCGGGAGCTTCAGGCCCAGGGCCCCCTCCTGACCTCCTGGGCCCCACGTTGCGCTCCCAACGGGGCTGCCCCAGCCTGGGGCCGCCCCGCCTGCCCTCACCTCTACCAGGCCCCGGCTGTGCGCAGAGGGGTTTAGTGGTTGGAAAAGGTCGTATTTAACTACCCCCCTCCTTTTTCCTGTCATGGATGCTGGCTGTGGAAAAAAAAATTTTTTTTTAAATTAATTCGTTTATTTTATTTTTGGCTGCATTGGGTCTTTGTTGCTGCGCACGGGCTTTCTCTAGTTGCGGCGAGCAGGGGCTACTCTTCGTTGTGGAGCGCTGCCTTCTCACTGCAGTGGCTTCTCTTGTTGCGGAGCACAGGCTCTAGGCACGTGTGCTTCAGTAGTTGTGGCACGCAGGCTCAGTAGTTGTGGCTCGTGGGCTCCAGAGCACAGGCTCAGTAGTTGTGGCGCATGTGCTTAGTTGCTCCGTGGCATGTGGGATCTTCCCAGAGCAGGGCTCAAACTCGTGTCCCCTGCATTGGCAGGCAGATTCCCAACCACTGCGCCACCAGGGAAGTCCCGTGAAAAAAATTGTTTAATTAAAAAAAATAATAATAAAGTAAATTGGAAAAAGTGGAGATTTATATTCAGGTTAGTCAAGATGATTGCAGTTTTCATCAAAAGTTCCTATTTGAAGAAAATTGAGAAGGTTAAAAGTGACTCTTGGTCAGAATAGTATAACTTTGTTTTCATTCATCTGATTCTGTTTTTGTGGATTGCTGTCAGCTTAATTTTGCCTTTTTATTAATTTGCTTTTGTATTTCTCTAAAATTAAATCTAGCATAGCTCCTGTTTAAGGAACATGTGTGATAAATGTTGAATTAAGTTGACTAAAAGTGATTTGAAGGAACACGGGAATCAGTTTAGTTGAATTTATAATTTTTTTACGGCAGTTTGTTCTTATTTTCCTCCCATTTTTGGTAGACTCTCAGAGAACAGGATTTCCAGGAAAAATTTTCCATACCCTATTTATAGAATGTTACGGTGTAAAGGAAAACAACTTTTTTGGGAAAAAGATTCTGAAGTTTCATGGTGGAAATGGTTTAGCTTTTGAGACCTTTAAATTTGTTAAAATCTATTAGTTATGGTGGTTCATGATCTTGAGTTAAGGCCAATTTTATTCTTCCCCATTATCAAACTTGGGTAAAGAATTTTAATGAAAATTCTCTCTTTTGGTTATAAGGTGCAGTTCTTTCAATTTCCTTGTTATGGTGGGTTTCTCCCCTTCTGTCAGCCAGCATTTAACGTTTCTAATATTAATTAGAGATATTTGATTTGGAATTGCTTTCATTTGGAGAAGATTTGTCATCCAATATGTGTTTTAGTGTTTTAGATAAATTATGCCATAATCACTTACCAAATTTAAAACTTGCCTTTGAAGTTTTAGGAGGCTATGAATTGAAAGAAGTGCTTGATTTAGTTTTTTTGCATATAGGTACCACTTAATGGACAAGTCTATGAACTTTTAACTGTCTTCATGGACTGGATTTCGGATCATCACCTTAGCAAATTGAAACGTGAGGAATCCGGGATGGATGGTGACAAGGCACAACTACCCACATCTGCTGCTCAGAGCAATGATACTCAGGAGAAGTGTGTGAAGGTTTGTTTTTTAATTTGAAATATATGACTCAGTAGACACGAAGATTGAAAAAGTGGTACATTTTACAAGAGAAAAAATGTTGAAAGTATTTTTGATAGAAAGTTGATTATACCAATAGTCAGTTCTAAAAAGATTCATTTCAGACTTAATTCAAATTAATTCATACTTATATTTTTTGTAACATGATGGGAATTTCTTTTTAAAGGCAGACCAGAAATTGAAAACCTACTCCAAAAATGGCAAAATAATTGTGTGTTAGAGTTAGGCAGATAATCAGTGATAGGAACAATTCCTGATACACATCATTTTAGGATTCAAATCGCACTAAAATAATTTTATTTTGCCTTTTGTCATGAAGGGTTAAATAGTATTTTCAAGGGGCTTCTCATTAACAAAGAGAAATGACCATTTTATTAAATTACAGACATTAATTTGGATATTGATACTCAGGATTTCCAGTCGGTATAAATTGTCATTAGAGATTGACGGTTGCATTCTACAAGAAATACATTAAAACTCTGAAGAGTGGATATCTAAAGTTGTTTGTTTGGTTTAACGAATTACTAAATACAGGCCAGGGTTTCATTTGAGGAAATTATTTCCGGTTTTCATCCTTACCTAAAAAGTTTCTTCTAAACGCTTTTTGTGCGAGGCAGGATAATGGCCCCGGAAATGTTCATAACCTAAGCCCTGGAACCTGTCAATGTGTCACATTTACATGGAAAAAGTAAATTAAGTACTAATCAGCTGACCCTCAAGTATAGAGATTAATCAGGATGATCTGGGTGGGTCCAGTAATCACGTAAGCACTTCAGGCCCGACAAAAGAGGCAGAAGAGTAGGTGAGACACTCAATGCATCCTCGCATCCTCAGTGGCTTTGAAGATGAGGCAGAGGGGGCTTCCCTGGTGGTGCAGTGGTTGAGAGTCCGCCTGCCGATGCAGGGGACACGGGTTCGTGCCCCGGTCCGGTCCGGGAGGATCCCACATGCTGCGGAGCGGCTGGGCCCCTGAGCCATGGCCGCTGAGCCTGCACGCCCGGAGCCTGTGCTCCGCAGCGGGAGAGGCCACGACAGTGAGAGGCCCGCGTACTGCAAAAGAAGAAAAAAAAAAGTGAAGTTTGAGTCAAACATTTTTTTAAACTTTTATGCTTCAAAGTATACTATCGTGAGAGTCAAAGGCAACCCAGTGAATGGAAAAAATATTTTTCAAATCAGATCTGATAAGGGACTTCCATCTTGAGTATTTAAACAAAAAGACCTTACAACTTAGTAATTAAAGACAGCCTAATTGAAAATGCTCAGTGCATCTGAATAGACGGTTCTCTAACACTCACCCAAATGGTCCATAAGCGTGTCAAACGATGCTCAGCAACGTTAGTAATTTGGGGAATGCAAATCCGAGTCACTTTGTTTTGTCACTTCACACCCCCTGGGATGGCTAAAATAAAAAAGCCAGATAATCTTAAGCATTGACCAAGATGTGAAGAAATCGGAACTCTCATGCGCTGCTGGTGAAAATGTAAAAAGGTGTAGTAGGAACTTTGGAAAATAGCCTGGCAGTTCCTGAGAAGATTAAATGTGGATTTACCAAACGAGTCAGCTGTTCCACTCTGAGGTGTGTACTCAAGAGAAACGCAGACGTGTGCGCACATAGATTCGTATGTGAATGTTCATGGCAACATGACGCACGATAGCCAACACGTGGAGACAACCCAGATGCCCATCAGCTGACAGATGGCTCAATAAAATGGTGTATGTAGATTGTGGAATATAATTTGGTGGTAAAAGGGGATGATGTATCCATGCATACTACAGCGTGAGTGAATTTTGAAAATACTGGAAGTGAAAGAAGCAAGTCACAAAAGACCACATATTGCGTGATTCCATTTATATGAAAATCCTGGAACCGTGTAAATCAGTGTAGAGAAAGTAGCTGAGTGGTTGTGAGGACAGGATGCTGAGATGCCTGCTAACGTTTAGGGTTCTTTGGGGGGAGGGTGATGGAAATGTTCTTGAACGGATTCTCAGGATGGTTTCACAACTCGCTGAATATACTAAAAATCACTGAATTGTACCCTTCACGTGGGTGACTCGTATGGTGTGTGAATTATGTCTCACTAAAACGATTACCAGCAAATTCACCACCGCCACCGTGAAAGGCGGGAAAGACACCGGGCCAGCACCAGGTGCTCCTGCTCCTGGCATCCCCTGGGTCCGTAGACCTGGGACACTCCACCTCCTCCCCCCTCCCCTCGCTTCCCCTCCCCAGCTTCATGCTGGTAACCTAGTGAACTGACTGACTGTCTCACACTTCTGATTTTCCTGCGTGCTTCCTCGTGTTATGTACCTTGTTTGTGACAGAAGCACTTTATACACAGTTCTGTGTACTTTATCTTGTATGCCTATGTGTGGTCCCAGTTGAAAGATTTCTCTCTGCAATGGAAGACTTTCCTTCCTTAACAGTTTTAAATACTGTAATTTAAGGGTGGGGGAATTAAGAATACAAAATGTTCCTGCGATTATGACCTTAACAGAGTAGGTGGTTATCAAATTCTGTTCATCCACAAAAGTACTCAATTTCGGGTGTCTGTAAGTTTTCAGTTTTGCTTGAAATTTCATTCTAGAAAATAACTAAGACGAGAAGGAAATTAATGAAGAGCTTTCAGGAGAAAATAGAGTCAGGTTTATGCTTTGAAAGGGTCGTGTCTTCTGTGACACGGCAAGAGGGTCGAAGAGATGCAAGAATGGGCCTGGAGGACACTTAGGAAACGCAGGTGCTTCAGGGGAAGGACAGTGTGGCTGTGAGCTGGAAATGGGCCATCTAGAGAATGTTTGGGGGGAAGATTGACGAGACTTAGTGATAGATCCCATATAAAAGGTGGACTCTCAGGGTTGGCGCCCAGGCTCCTGACTTTGCACCGGGATGAATGTTGGTCGCGTTCACTGCGAGTAGGAAATACGACACGAGATCTGGGTTTGAGATCTCCACTGTTGGTAAGTTAGTTTTAGACGAGTTGCGTTGCAGACACCAGAGTGCGTGTGTGGGTGTGGGTGTAGGTGTGGCTCCGGGGGCTGGGGCTCTGCGGAGAGGCCTGAGCTGGGCGTGTGGCTGTGGGGGGTTGTGAGTCCCGACTGGCTAGCGCTGAGTCGAGGAACTCCGGTATTTAATGGTCAGGTGAATGAGGACCAGCCAGCAGGAGAGAGTGGTGGTGGCCCGAGACGTAGAGGGGAGCTGGGTATCGCGGGAGCAGCTGGTGGCACAGAAGCCGGGGGGCTTCCAGAGGAGTGCGTAGGCCACATGTGTCCGTCCAGACTCAGAGGTTTATCTTTATACCTTATTTATCACATCTGGGGTCCAATTACATATGGTTTTATATCCTAGCTTTTATTATTACTATTTTTTTCAAACATTCTTTTCTTGCCATCTTTTTTTTTACATCTTTATTGGAGCATAATTGCTTTACAATGGTGTGTTAGTTTCTGCTTTATAGCAAAGTGACTCAGTTATACATATCCTATCCTTCTCAAACTCTTCCAAAATATAGCAGAGGGAGGAACACTCCCAAACTCATTCTACGAGGCCACCATCACCTTGATACCAAAACCAGACAAGGATGTCACAAAGAAAGAAAACTACAGGCCAATATCACTGATGAACATAGATGCAAAAATCCTCAACAAAATACTAGCAAACAGAATCCAACAGCACATTAAAAGGATCATACACCATGATCAAGTGGGGTTTATTCCAGGAATGCAAGGATTCTTCAATATACGCAAATCTATCAATGTGATTAACCATATTAACAAATTGAAGGAGAAAAAGACTTACTTCACTCTGTATGACAGACTCTAGGTCCATCCACCTCACTACATATAACTCAATTTAAAAACCCTGCAGAAAGTAGGCATAGGGGGAACTTTCCTCAACATAATAAAGGCCATATATGACAAACCCACAGCCAGCATCGTCCTCAGTGGTGAAAAACTGAAGGCATTTCCTCTAAGATCAGGAACAAGACAAGGTTGTCCACTCTCACCAGTATTATTCAACATAGTTTTGGAAGTTTTAGCCACAGCAATCAGAGAAGAAAAAGAAATAAAAGGAATCCAAATCAAAAAAGAAGTACAACTGTCACTGTTTGCAGGTGACATGATACTATACATAGAGAATCCTAAAGATGCCACCAGAAAACTACTAGAGCTAATCAATGAATTTGGTAAAGTAGCAGGATACAAAATTAATGCACAGAAGTCTCTGGCATTCCTATACACTACTGATGAAAAATCTGAAAGTGAAATTAAGAAAACACTCCCATTTACCATTGCAACAAGAAGAATAAAATACCTAGGGATAAACCTACCTAAGGAGACAAAAGACCTGTATGCAGAGAACTATAAGACACTGATGAAAGAAATTAAAGACGATACCAACAGATGGAGAGATATACCATGTTCTTGGATTGGAAGAGTCAACACTGTGAAAACGACTCTACTCCCCAAAGCAATCTATAGATTCGGTGCAATCCCTGTCAAACTACCACCGGCATTTTTCACAGAACTAGAATGTATCACTGTGGGGTCTTGATCTTTCAGCAAAAGGACATACTGTTGAAGCAGCATTCATTAATACCTTTTTTAAAGATTTGCATTATTTTTATAAGTTGACATGAATTAAGATATTTATGAAAGACACATATAAGGAGGAAAGTAAATATCACTCCAGTTACTGAAATCTCACTGTTAATATTTTTTAAAAACATCTTTTCTTACCTTTTTTTCAATATAAATTCATGCAGACATATTTTATGTAAGTGGAATCTTATTACACTTTTTGTAACCTGCTTTTATAACCTCAGAATATGCCATGGCAATAAATATAGATGCCATTATCATTTTTAATGGTTATATATGCACCATAAGTTTATTTAATCATTTAAGATTCAGAGTATGTTTTTATAGGTTAATCTTAAAATCCTAGATGTGCTGTTGCTGGGTCAAGGGGATAGATATGTAATGTTTCAAATACATATTTCCTTGTTGTGTTACATACGGTTTTAAAGTGAAGATTTTTTTGTTAGAGAACTCTTTTTTTTCTTTTGGAAAAAGATAATTTTTGGAAAGTTGTGATAATTGATTTCAGACATCTAAAAATAGTGTGTGTTTGTATTTTCCATCATTTTATCTTTAGCTTTTGCCTGTGATGACTGAGCAGCTACAGTGGATGCCTTTTGTGAATGCCAAGCTTCACGAGCCTTTTGTAAAGTTTATATATTGGTCTCTAAGGCAGCTCGATGCTGGAACACAGGTAACTGGTGAATGGGAGTCTATCTGCAAGTACAACCCTTTTGCTCTTGATCTTACTCTTTCACAGCTTTCCCCACGTGTCCTGTTCTGTTTCGGGACTTTTCCTCGCCACCCTTGCTTTGTTCACCACTTTCTCTTCTTTCCCCTTTTACTATCCTATTTCTCAATGCTGTAGGTCAGATTCAGGGTATAACATTGCTTTTGAGTTTCAGAATTGTGTAATAAGGAGTTTCACTGTGTTAGGTTATTGTTGAAACCAGCTGCTCCCCCCTCCCCGGCCTCATTATTTATTTTATAGTTTTTCATATTCTTCTGAAGGTAACAGAAATTGGTTTTTTGTCTTTATGCCAGTAAACACACACTAGCTAAATGGAACAGTGATTATTAGTATAACCTAATCAAAGAGGGAAAATTATTCCAGCATCTTATAAAATGAAGGGTAGGTGTTACCAGCTCATGTAAGGGTTATTTAATCCAAATATGACGTGCATATATAACCAATTGTGCTATGAGTTGTAGTAGGTTTGTAAAATGTTACTTTCCCAGTTAGTATTGATAAATGCTGTTACAGCTTTCATTTGGTTAAAAATGGAGAAAAACAAATTAGTGCTCGGGTAGCTTACTCTTGGTCCTGTGGAGCTCAGGAAGCACACGGCTAAACTGCTAAGTGCACGACTGGTGGTTAAGTAGTGGGATGGTTGAGGTTTAGGGAAAATGGCTTTCTGAGGGTTTCCTAAATATTTTGCCTTCATGGCGCACATGAGTGAGTACGTGAGCACGTGTGTGCGCGCACACGTGCATGCACATACATAACATACACACAGTTGACCTTAACTGTGTGTCTCACCAAAGTTATATAAATTATCTGGTCTGTTAATGTCACTGTTGACTTTGCTGTTCATGTGATGGTTTCTGAGAAAGGTTGGCTGAATGCTTGCTTTCAGCCGCAAAAGGCTAGACTCACGGAATTGAGTGAAACTTTGTTTTATCTTCCTTCCAAGAAGAGTCTTCTCATTTTTCTTCAGATAATTTGTCCTTGTCTTCAGATCGCCACTCAGTGCCACTCTGTGTGCACTGCCAGCCTGCACCCACTTTCTAGTGAAAAGTAGCATTCTTGCCACTCTCCCATTCGTTTGCTCAACATTTACTGATGGGTTTTTAACATTTTAGTTTTAACAATTGTGTAATTGCAAGTACTTTTTTAAAAATTAAGCTTTTTATTTTGAGATAGTTGTAGATTCACTTGTATTCATAAGAAATAATAGAGCGATCACTTGTTTCCATTCCCCCAAAGGTGACACAATCTAAAACTAGTTGCAGTACCACAACCACGATACTGACATGGCTGTAGTCAAGGTAACAGAACAGTTTCATCACCATGAAGGTTTCTTATGTTGCTTTTTAAATATATAGACTTTATTTTTTAGAGCGAATTTAGGTTCACAGCAAAATGGAGCACAGAGAGTTCTCGTAAACCCCTGCCCCACACATGCACAGCCTCCCCACTAAGAGTGTCCCACCAGATGGGACCTTTGTCACAGTCGATGGACCTGCGCGTGCACGTCATCATCACCCACAGTGTGAGGTTCACATCAGGGTCAATCTCAGTGTTGTACGTTCTCTGGGTTTTGACAGATGTATCACGGCATGTAACCGTCACTGTAGTATCATACAGAATAATAATTTGATACAAAAAGTCGTTCGCCCTAAAACTCCTCTGTGTTGTGCCTACTCTTGCCCTGCCCCCAACCCCTGACTCCTGGAAACCACCAGTCCATTTACTGTCTGCAGAGCTTTCCCTTTTCCAGAATGTCATAGAGCTGGAGTCATGCAGTGTGTACCCTTTTCAGACTGGCTTCGTTCACCTAGTCATATGTATTTAAGGTTCCTCGCTGTCTTTTCATGGTTTGATAACCCTTTTCTTTTTAGCCCTGAATAATATCCCATCGCCTGGATAGACCACAGTTTATCTGTCCATCACCTACTGACAGATATGTTGGTTGCTTCCAAGTTTTGGCAATTATGAATAAAGTTGCTATCACATCCATGTGCAGGTTTCTGTGTGGATATAAGTTTTCATCTCCTTTGGGTAAATATCAAGGAGCATGATTATTGGATAGTATGGTAAGAATATACTTTTTTTTTTTTTTTAAGCAACTACAAGCTGTCTTCCAAAGTGGCTGCGCTATTCTGCATTCCCACCAGCGGTGATGAGAGTTCCTGTTGCTTCACATCCTCGCCGGCATTCAGTGTTGTCTGTGTTCTGGGTTTTGGCCCTTCTCGTAGTGTGTAGCGGTATCTCACGGTGGTTTTAATTTGCGTCTCCCTGATGACGTATGATGTGGAGCATCTTATGTTTGCCTGACGTCTGTATATCTTCTTTGGTGAGGTGTCCAGGTCCTTTGTGCACTTTTTAATTGGGTTATGTATTCTCTTATTGCTGAGTTTTTAGAATTCTTTGTATATTTGGATAACAGTCTTGTATCAGATGTGTCTTTTGCAGGTATTTTCTCCTAGGGTATACCTCCTAGCCTAGGTATTTCTCTGTGGCTTGTCTACTCATTCTCTTGACAGTGCCTTTCACAGAGCAAGAGTTTTTAATTTTAATGGAGTCCAGCTTATCAGTTATTTTTCACGGATCGTGCCTTTGGTGTTGTATCTACAAAGTGATCACCGTACCCAAGGTGTTGTTATACCCTCTTGGAGAATTGACCCATTCATCACTATGTGATGCCCCTCCTTTCCCTGGTAACTTTCCCTGCTCTGAAGCCTGTTTTGTCTGAAATTAAGATTTCAAAGCTGTTCCAGCCTTCTTGTGATTACTGTCAGCATGGTATATCTTTCTTTATCCATTTGTTGAACACTTTTAATCTGTATGTGTCTTTAGATTTAAAGTGGGTTTCTTGTAGGCAGTGTATAGGGACCTTCTGTTACAGTCTCTTGTAATTGGTGTGTTTTGACTGTTGTTACTTAGAGTGATTATTGATGCTGTTCGGCTAATATTTACCCAAGTTGTCAGTTTCCTGTTTGTTGACCTTGTTCTTTGTTCTCCTCTTTCCCTTTCTTTTGTGGCTTGAACTGGACATACGAGAGTCTACTTTCCATCCTTTTTAGCATGTCAGTTGTACTCTACTACTTTAACTTTTTTTGGTGGTTGAGTACCTTATTAGAACACAATATTCCTGATTCTTTCCTTCTGTGTTTTATTCCTTTGTATCATTGCTGTCATTCATTACCCCTAAACATAAGCACACACACGTGTGTACATGTTATACACACATACACATATAGACACACACATGCATACATAATTGAATACATTGTTGCTATTATTTTCAACAAACTGTTAATCTGTTGGACCAATTAAGAATAAGAAAAATAAGTGTTTTTATTTTACCTGCACTCCTTCCTTCCCTAATGCTCTTACTTTATGTACATCCAAGTTTCCCAAGATATATAATTTCCTTCTCTCTAAAGAATTTTTGTTAGTATTTCTTGCAAGACAGGTCTACTGGTAACAAATTCTTTCAATTTTTGTTGATCTCAGAAAATCTTTATTTCTGCTTCATTTCTGGTGGATAATTTTACAGTATATAGAGTTCTAAGTTGGCGGGTTTTTTCCCTCAACACTTTAAATATTTCCTTCTGCTCTCTTCGTGCTTATGTGATTTTTGAAGAGAACCTCGATGTAATTCTTATCTTTGCTCTGCTATAGATGACCTGTTTTTTCCTCTGGCTTCTATTAGGATTCTTTTCATTAGCTTTTCTTTTCTTTCTTTTTTCCAGCTGCACGACATGCGGGATCTTACTTCCCGCACCGGGAATTGAACCTGTGCCCCCTGCAGTGGAAGTGCAGTCTTAACCACTGCATCACCAGGGAAGTCCCTAGCTTTTATTTTCTGTAGTTTAAGATACACTTTGATGTAGTGTTTTGTTTTATTTTTTCTTTTGCTACTTATCCTACTTGGTGTTCTCTGAGCTTCCTGGTTCTGTGTTTTTCTTTCTGACATTAATTTGAGGGAGATTCTCAGGTCATTATTGCTTCAAGTATTTCTTCTGTTTCTTTTTCTCTTTTCCTTCTGGTATTCCCCTTACCCGTATGTCACACCTTTTGTAGTTGTCCCATAATTTTTGTATAGTCTGTTCCATTTTTCAGTCTTTTTTTTTCTCTTTGCTTTTTTTTTTTTGGCAGGGGTGGCTGCGTTGGGTCTTTGTTGCTGCACGCGGGCTTTCTCTAGTTGTGGCGAGCGGGGGCTGCTCTTTGTTGCAGTGTGAGTGCTTCTCATTGTGGTGGCTTCTCTCATTGTGGAGCACGGGCTCTAGGCACGTGAGCTTCTGTAGTTGTGGCACATGGGCTCAGTGGTTGTGGCTCGTGGGCTCTAGAGCACAAGCTCAGTAGCTGTGGCACATGGGCTTAGTTGCTCCACAGCATGTGGGATCTTCCTGGACCAGGGCTCGAGCCCGTGTCCCCTGCATTGGCAGGCAGATTCTTAGCCAGTGCGCCACCAGGGAAGTCCCTCTCTTTGCTTTTTAGTTTCTGAAGTTTCTGTTCAAGGTATCATCAAGCTCAGAGGTTGTTTATGGAGCCCCGTAGATTCCACTAATGAGCCCAGCAAAGCTGTTCTCCATTCTCAGTGGTTTTCATCTCTAGTGTTCCTTTTGGTTCTTTATCAGAATTTCATCTCTCTGCCTATTTTATCCGTCTATTCTTTTGTGTTGTCTCCTTTTTCCATTAGAGCTCTTGGCATGTTAATCATAGTTGTTTTAAATTCCCAGGCTGATTATTCCAACATTCCTACCATATTTGGGTCTGGTTCTGTTGCTTGCTCTGGCTTTTCAAACTGTGTTTTGCCTTTTGGCGTGCCTTGTCATTCTTTCTTGCTACCTGGACATGCCGTACTGTGCACCGGAGCTGCTGCAAACAGGCCATTAGTGCTGTGGTGGCAGGTGTGTGGAGGGGAGTGCTCTGGCCGTGTGATCAAGTCTCAGTCTTCCAGGGGGCATGTGTCCCTGGCCTGTGAACTTCACAGGTGCTCCTCGGGTCTTCTGCCCCTGAGGTGGGGCAGGAGCGTAGAGTTCACTGGAGTTGGGCGTCATTTCCCTTCCCCTAGGCTGATTGGACTCCGATAAAACTCCAGTAGGTTAGGCTCTGGTGAAGTAGTTTTCCTGAGGACACATCTAACACCGGACAGTGTTAGCGCTTTTGCTGCTTCAGCTGTCGAGCGTGCCTCGATGAGCAGGGAAGGCTGTCTGCGCGCCTGCGATTGAGCTCCGTGCGCCCCTCCCCCACGTCCCAAGGCTCTTTCTTCCGTCTCCTGTTTGCAGAGCTTCCGCGAGGCAGAGCCTGGTGGCAAACTGTCTTCTCTTTCTTTTTGTTTTTTAATTTAATTTTTATTTTATGTTGGAGTACTGCTGACTGACAGTGTTGTGTTGCTGTCATGTGTGCGGCAGAGTGATTCAGGTCTACACATACACGTCTCTATTCCTTCTCAGATTCTTTTCCCATTTAGGTTATTACAGAATATTGAGCAGAGTTCCCTGTGCCATACAGTAGGTCCTTATTGTTTATCTGTTTCATATGTAGTAGTGTGTATCTGCTAATCCCAAACCCCCAATTTATTCCCCCAGCCTTTCCCCTTTGGTAACCATAAGTTTGTTTTCTAAGTCACTGAGTCTGTTTCTGTTTTGTAAGTAAGTTCATTTGTATCTTTTTTTTGTTGTTGTTACGTTCTACATATAAGCGATCTCATATGATATTTGTTTTTCTTTGTCTGACTTACTTCACTTAGTGTGATAATCTCCAGGTCCACCCATGTTGCTACAAATGGCATTATTTCATCCCTTTTTATGGCTGAGCTGTATTCCATTGTATATATATATGTACCACACCTTCTTTATCCATTCTTCTGTCAGTGGACATTTAGGTTGTTTCCATGTCCTGGCTATTGTAAGCAGTGCTGCAGTGAAGACTGGGGTGCATGTGTCTTTTTGAATTGTGGCTTTCTCGGGATATATGCCCAGTGGTGGGACTGCTGGGTCCCATGGTGGCTCTATTTTTAGGTTTTTAAGGAACCTCCATACTGTTCTCCATAGTGGCTGCACCAGTTTACATTCCCACCAACAGTGCAAGAAGGGTCCCTTTTCTCCACACCCTCTCCAGCATTTATTGTTTGTAGATTTTTTGAGGATGGTCATTTTGACCGGTGTGACATGATACCTCATTGTAGTTTTGATTTGCATTTCTCTAATAATTAACGATGTTGGGCATCTTTTCGTGTGTTTTCTGGCCACCTGTTTGTCTTCTTTGGAGAAATGTCTATTTAGATCTTCTGTCCATTTTTTGATTGGGTTGTTTGTTTTTTTGCTATTGAGTTGCTGAGCTGTTTATATATTTTGGAGGTTAATCCCTTGTCGGTTGCTTCGTTTGCAAATATTTTCTCACATTCTGAGGGTTGTCTTTTCATCTTGTTTACGGTTTCCGTTGCTGTGCAGAAGCGTTTCCTTCATCTTAGAATGCTCTGATTTCCCCGTCATTTCTAAAGCACATTTTCACTGGGTATCAGATTTGGGCATGACAGTTCTTTTCTTGCGGCGTTTGAAAAATGTTGTGCCAATTCCTTTTAGTCAGTTTCTGTTAAGAAGTCTGCTGCCATTTGAATTGCTTTCCCATGTATGTTCATTTCTCTGACAGTGCTTTTGGTTTTGTTGTCTTTCTTCAGTTTTCATGAGCCTGGCTGTGCTGTGTCTCGTTGATCTCTGGGTCTGTCCTCTTTTGGGCTTGCTCAGCTGCCTCAACCTCTGCAGATGGTTTCCAGCCGCTGTCCCTTCAGCTGTTCCTTTGGCCCCGCTTGGCTTTCTGCTCCTTTCAGGGCTCTGATTGTCGTTGCTGTCACAGCTTTTGTGACAGTCCCTCAGCTTCTATCCTTTTCGCTCAGTTTCTTCCTTCTTTCTGCTCAGATCAGGTACTTTCTGTTATTGTATTTTCCACTTAACTGATGCTTCCCTCTGTTCTCTCTGTTCTGCTGTTCAGGCTGTTCATTGAGGGTTTTGTTTTGGTCGTTGTGTTTTCAGTTATGAAATTTCTATTTGGTTCTTCTTTACATTTTCTTTGGTAAGACTTTCTTTTTCTTTGATGAGATTTTGTTTTTTTCTTCATTTGTTTCAAAAATGTCTGTAATTTCTCATTTCGTCACAGCTCCTCTAGCGTGTTTGTCATGTTGGTGTTGGCAAGTATTGGTTTTCCTTTTTCATTCAGTTTGAGGTCCTTCTGGTGTGATTAGTGATTCTCTGTTGGAAACTGGACATTCCGGCACTGTGTCACGAGATTCCGGATGTTAGTAAACATTTTGTCTCACCTGGCTGGTGCTGCTCTGCAGACGAGGGGCCTCCTCAGTCAAAGCCCTGGTTCCCCGCCAGCCTGTGTGGCCATGGGAGGCGGTGTGTGTGGGGGGGTCTGGGCCCCTCCCTACCCAGGGTGGGGCTGGGGGCGCCTCACTGCTCCCACGTGGCCTCCGCTGATGCTGCCGTTCCGCCTGGCGGGGGTGGGAGTCCCCGCCTTCCTGACGACCTTGCTGGCTTTGGGGGGCTGGGCCACAGGCTGTTCTGTGGTGTTTGGCTGGAGCGCAGTTTTGTCTGCACGTTTTTTGTCTCGCAGGTCTGCCCTTTCCCGCCCTGTAGCCGGAGATCAGCGCTTGGTGTTAGGGTGGGCATTCTCTCTCCTTTGGTGGCCGCTTTTTCGGCTCCAGATCTGGGAAGTCTGAAGCCGTGTTGGACGTTTGGGGCCCCAGCCAGCCTGCTTTCTTCTGTCTGCCTTTCAGTCATCTGGTGTGTGTTTTCTGTACAATGTCCAGGGGGTTTAGTTGTCTTCAGAGCAAGAAGACTGGGGGAGGTAATACCTGCTCAGTCTTTTGGCCAGAAATCTTATTTTCTATTTTTAAAATTTTGTTAACCTGGTGGCGGGGGGGGGGCTCAGAGTTGTTTTTGTCATGTTTTTTTGCCTTATAGTAGAGAAGGCAACCTGTCCTACAAAATACGGTTGAAGTCCTGGGACGAGCGCCCCCTGTAGGCGGGTCCTGGGCCACACTGAGCACAGATGCGTGCGACATCTCGTTCTGCAGCAGAGACTTTGCTTCTCTTCTGTTTCCACTTAGAGGGAAGTAGGTATCAACACACGTTTAGGAGACAAAGAGCTTGTGTTTAGACATAAGCAGAATATTCCCTGAATCCTGTCTTTCTGATGCATTATCCTGAGTAGGATTTTGAAATATTTTCTTCTATTACCTTCTTACACTGAGGCTCTAAAGCACAAATGTATGATCTCTTCCTAATGACATCAAAAGCTTATTGATAATATATGTGAATCAGATGGCACTGCTTGTGCGACTCACCACCAAATCATTTGGCTTCTGACACTCATAAAATCTCAGTGTATCTGTCTCTGGTTTTATGTGCAGAAATTCTAGAGCTGATGCTTTTTATCCACATTGCAAGATCAGTGCTTGTCTGGGTACAGATGGGTCCGAAATCCCCAGAAGATGGGGGAAGCCGTTACAAAAGTCAGTGATGTGGGTTTATAACAAAGGGAATTTTAAGTTATTTCTGAGTGTGGCTTCAGCACTTCCATCTGCAGCAGTTTGAATGCTTTTCCTGTGTTGGCTTCTTACCGTATTTGTGGAAAACCGTCAGAGCCTGTGTTGTTTTAGAGGGAGTTAATATGCCGTCATTTCTGTTTCGCTCATTTTCTTGTTTGAGTTGATTCGCCCTGAGAATTGTCCATGATTCTAACCCAGCATTTTTGTCTTCTGAAATGAATAAAATGTATCTCGATCGTGGTGACATTTACCATCCAGCTGGGCTGTGAAGCAGTGAGGCGCTGGATGATCGCGTGTGAGCGGGCACTGAGGGATGCTGGGCTCTTCACCAGCAGTGGTGGAGGTGGGCAGCACAGACCCCACAAGCCTCCCCTTGTTCCTTTGGCTGCTCTGTGCCAGAGACCTCTCACGATCTGCTCTTAGATGCTTTGAAATGGAATCTTGTCATAGTGCTTCTCCCGATTTAATTCTTTAGAAATTACTGTTCCTAATTTCTTAGTTGTACCCATTTCTTTTAGAGAAATATGTAGTATAAATAATTTTTTAAAGTTGATTATAAAATTACTGCTTTCCAGTCTTGCATATTGCCAGCTCCATTTGATCTGTTTTTAGTTAGCAAAAGATTGGCTTATTTTTAGTTCATATATTGGATTGTAGTATTTAAAATACATATTTTCTGAACATGAGTAAGTGTACTAAGACAGTACATGTTTTTGACAGCATTCCACTATGACGTCAACATTGAGGCGACTGGGTGAAGACATATTCAAAGGAGTAGTGACCAAGGGCCTTCAGGGTAATTCTTTGGAGCATTCTGTGGAGAGTAAACCAAAGACAGCTGCTTTCTTTAAGAGCTCCAGTTTACCTCTGAGATTTTTATCAACTTTAATTGTTCTCAAAACAGTCACACAAGGTAAGCTTTCACATGTGCTTGTGGTATAATTTCTTGTCAGTAACCAGAAGAGAATTCTCTGTAGTGGAGCAGTTCTTACATAGTTGAATATATTTTACATTTTCAGAATGAGCTTTTAAGTTGTTTTATACTGGTGACCCATTGTTAAAAACTACTTTAGTTGCTGAATTTGAGAAAAATGAGTGGTGGGTTGGCTTTGTTGCCCCTCCCAGAGGCCCTTGTTGATGCTCTTAGATCACGTGCCCATAGCAACCTTTGCTGCCACTGCCCTTGCGTTTCCCGCATGGTATTGAGATTGCTATTAACTGTTTACTGATTCCCACTAGAGCAGGGCTTGGCGGACTAGAGCCCATGGGCCAAATATGGCCCACCACCTGTTTTGTCAATGAAGTCTTATTTGAGCACAGTTATGTTCATTAGTTTCCTGTTGTCTCTGTTTTTGCCGTATAACAACAGAGCTGAGTAGCTGGCAACAGAGGCAGCCTGCCCTCCAGAGCCTATAAAGTTGTTATGTGGCCCTTCACAGAAAAAGTTTCTCAGCCCCCACACTCGTGTGTAAGTTTACCGCCTTGTTGCCCACTGTACACCCCGCACCCAGCCTGGTGCTTGATGTATATACGAGGGAACGAGGAAATGAATGCATTAAAAATGTTTCCTTCAGGGACTTCCCTGGTGGTCCAGTGGTTAAGTCCCCGCGCTTCCACTGCAGGGGGCGCAGGTTCGGTCCCTGGTCGGGGAACTAAGGTCCTGCATGCCGCATAGCCAAAAAAAAAAAATGTTTCCATCAGAGTTGGCCGTTTTTAGTACAGTTTTGATATACAGCTATAAGTAGTCTTTTTTGGATTATTAAATATGAGAATTTGTGTTAAGGTGCGTGATACCAATGTAGTCAAACAATAAACAGACCATCTTTCTTCCTTCCCTGTTAAATTATGTAACTCAGTCTGGTTGGTTGTTTCTTTAAGTGCGCAGTGGTGGTAAATTATTTTGACTACTTTCTCTGAAGTATATTCTCCTGATTATAAGGAATTTAAGGGAAAAACCAAACTGTGACTCTTAGTTATTTTCTTAACAGATGGGGTGGTAACTGCCTGAAAGGTTGTTTGTGAGAAAGGGTATTAGCCAAGCCAGAGTCCACCACATGTCAGCATACATGATAGCATCATTTGATACAAAGTGATATTCATTACCGATGAAACGAATGGAAAGGAGAAATAAGCAGGAAGGGATTCGGTGCCTCCTGTCCCCCTTCTGTGCAGCACAGTATTGGCCGTGCTGACCACCTGTGGTGACCTTAAACAAGTGGGGATGAACATTGGAAAGGAATAGAGAAAACTGGTAACTCATGGGTACTCTGTGTAAGTCAGGCAGAGAAACTGGCTGAGAGATCAGTGTGGTGTGGTCCGAATGTGTGTCCCCCTCAAAGTTCACCTGAGGAGACCCTAATCCCCAGGGAGGTGGTGTCAGGAGATGGGCCTTTGGGAGGCGCTCAGGTCGTGAGGGTGGTCCCCAGATGAACAAGACCCCACAGAGCTCCCTCAGGCCTCCACCACGCGAGGACACAGCAAGAAGACCATGACGGGGGAGGAGGGCCCTCGCCAGACGCCAAACCGGCAGCACCTCGACCCCAGACTCCCAGAGCTGCGAGCAGGACGCGTCTGTCCTTTCCCAGCCGTCCAGTCTCTGGCATTGTGTTACAGCAGCCCGAGTGGTCTAAGGGTTTCAGAAAATGGACTCCAGAGGAAATTCACAAAAGTCTGTTGATTTTGACTACTGTCGTGACTAGAGCATAACTACCGTGACCATCAGTAACAAGCAGCTATAATGTGTGAAAAAAAAGAGATCTTGTTCATGTAAGCAAAACAAAATAATGTAAAAAATGTGGATATTAATCTAACATGGTGTCAGTAAAACCTCATCTGTTGCGAAATATAACAGGACATAAGTAAAGATTTGGTGAATAATGGGTGAATGAACAGGTTGATAAAGATTATCGCCGAAGTTAAAGGGCAGCAATAAAGGACTTTTGTTCTTCCTACCCGGGAAGACCAAGAGTATTATTAAAATCAATAAGACACCCCAGGTGGCTGCATCTAATGATACCAATTAGAATTCCATTATGGTTTGTGTAAGTTGAGAGAGTAGTAGAAAAGTTTATTTGAAAAAATATTTGCAGTGAGTGTCGTGCTAATTTAAAGGAAACAAGTGAAATAGCAGCCCTGGGGCGGAGGCTTGCCTTAGCAGATTGTAAAACAATTGTGATGTGTAATAATAAAAATGAGTAATATTGATATGAAACAATATAATAGGAAAATAGTCCAGAACTGACACACAACTGGCACTTCATGTGGACTTACTGAATTAATGAATTTGATTGCTTCCTGGTCCAAGTCAGTTTTTTAAGAACATAGAATCATAAGCCAGTCCCTGTGGAGCTGGTCCCCTGGTCCCCTGTCAGCCTTCATTTGTCAGGTGCCCCAGAGAGGTCCTGAGGGCTGGAAGGGGGCCGTTGGGTCTCAGCCAGAAAGCCGAGGAAGAGCCAGGAGAGCAGGAGGGCATCTAGGAAGCGCTGTTAGGGGCGGTGGTGCAAGTGTGGGGAAAGGGGATTGAGGCACACGCTGTCTTGCCACGCACTGCAGCAAGATCTGGGAGAAGTAAAAAAGTAAATGGAAGAAAAGCTCTTAAATTGAACAGTAGACTTGGTGGGAGGACATTTCCTACTTATAAAATAGAAGTGTCTGTTACGAGATTGGTAAATTTAGTAGAAACAGTGGAGGGTAGATGTGTTGGATGATACACATGATATTAAATGCTTAATAACCCAAACATATGTGGGTCTGTAAGGTGATTTCCTGTTCCACTGACTGGACAGTGCGGGTAGATTGTTCCTGAGAATCAACGCAGGTAGTGATCCTTGGTGTGGATTTGGCACTGTCACGTCAAGCCCTTTGTATGTTGTCTGAACATGGTTATCCCCATTTGAGTGGTTATTAGGTCACAGAGCCTAGACCTTTGTGCCAGGGCCACAGAGCAGTGCTGGACAGCGTGGTTCAGCTCAGCTCTGTCCGTTTCTAAAGCCCACCTCTTGACCCTCCAGTGTGACTTCCCGAGACCATCAAAGAGGTAATAATAGCAAACGCCTACACAGTGCCTGCTGTCCTGGGCTAAGTGCTGCATACTGGCTGCTCTGACCCTTCCAGCAGGGTGGCGAGGGGTCAGCGTTCTCTCACCTCCGTCCTGCAGGTGATACGTGGAGGCTAAGCCTGCGCCCTCCATCACTGCTGTGCGGCTCTCTGACATTCACTGTGAGCTGCGACCTCAGACCCGTCACACAAAGCTAAGTGATTGGGGAATGTGCCACTGGAGGGGACGTGCACAGCTTTGATTGCACTGTAGTTTATGATCACTTTTGAAGTGCATTCTGGTTTCAGGAGCCACCAAGATGTATCCTAACGTTTAATAAGACTTATTGTAAGGAAACAGTTCAAAAGGGAAGGAAGTCCCAGGTTGCTGGTGTGCTGTCTGCGCTGGTGGAGAAAGTGGGTGGGTTCTCGCGCTGTTGCCGGTCTTTTTCTAGCCACACTCGGTGGTTTCAGGGTTACTCCCCACAGGAACCTGAGGACGGACGTGGGGTTGTCATTTTTACAGAAGAACAAACTGTAAGGGAGCCAGATCTTTCTCGAGGGCAGAGAAATGTCATGCGTCATCAACAATGATACTGCATAGGTGTGGGAATCAGTGTGAAGCATTTTAATACAACTCTCCGTGCGTGCACACTCGCTTGATCCCTGTAAAGATACGAGGATTAGAAGAAGTGATAAGAATCTTACCTGATGGGATTACCTATCTTAGGGACAGCCCTTCTCCTGTTTGACTTAATGTGTGCGTCAGGGCTTGTTCTGTAGTCCTGCCCTACCCACTCGGCCCGCGACCTACGCAGGTTTGTGGGCTTGTGATTATGCTGTCACCCCTCAGGCTTAGAGGGGTGCGGGGTGTGACTGCCGTGCTCAGGGGCAGGAAGGCTTGGCCTGGGGAGGCGGCAGCGTGACCGGCAGGTGAGAGCTTGAGCTCTGCAGCCACAGGCTCAGCCCCAGTCAGTGGTGTGCAGCATCGGCCCCTCCCTTTTCTGTGTTTGCACCGCGATATTGTGTTCTGAAGATTGAATGAGAAGGTTTAGCAAAGAGTCTGGCGTCCAGCAGGCCCCTAAGCAGTACGCTAGCCACTCTCGTTGTGGCCGTCATTACTGTTTGCTGTTATTAAACCGCTCAGGGTTGGTTTCCCCTGAGACAGAATCGATCTGTTGGATGCCGTTGGGTTTCTGTCGCTGCTCAGATGGACCACGTAAACACTTGGTTCTTTGGGCTCAGCTCCGCTGGGAGGCTGGGCTGGGCTGGGCTCCTCCCCCATGCGGCCCCTCGCCTGCGCCTGTCTACACCGCACCAGGGGCTGCCCAGCTGGAGGTCTCTGCCGCCTTCTGCGGTCACAGTCCCAGGTGGGCCCACTCGATCCGATCCTCTCGAGCCGGCCGTCGCCCACTGATGGCCTCTGATCAGGACTAAAAGGTGGTCTCATTGAACATCGGGATGTTTCTTAAACACTCAGTAGTACAGCATGTGTATAGAAAGAAACCAGGTTTGGCACAGTTGGTAACTAAACTTTTTTAGAGTACTCTTTTAGAGGTTAAATTGGTTTTTAGGAAATCTTCATTATTAGGGAAATTAAAGTAAGGAGGTAACTTTTAATTTCCCCCGAAAGATTAGACACTTTAAAAAAATAACCAGGGCTTCCCTGGTGGCGCAGTGGTTGAGAGTCCGCCTGCCGATGCAGGGGACACGGGTTTGTGCCCCAGTCTGGGAGGATCCCACATGCCGCGGAGTGGCTGGGCCCGTGAGCCATGGCCGCTGAGCCTGCGCGTCCGGAGCCTGTGCTCCGCAACGGGAGAGGCCACGGCAGTGAGAGGCCTGTGTACCGAAAAAAATAAAAATAAAAATAAAATAACCAAATACCATCTTTGTATACCCTCCAGATTAATAAAGGACTACTTTTTAAGTTTGCAAACCTGCTGTATCGTGCAGCCTTCGGCCTGTTTAATCTGAGGCAATGCCGAGTGAGAAGGGAGAGGCCTTGGTGTCAGATGCAGCAGGGCAGCACCCATAGTGGTGCTTGTACCCAGGAGGGGCCGTCAGCACTCTCCTGCCTCAGCAAGGCAGCTCCGGAGAGCAGCTGCAGCTTTGCCGACCTAGATACACGGTCGCTTTGCAGTGCTCTGTGAAGCTCAGAAGTTAAGTGCAGTAGTGTGCCTTGGGCTAGATGCTACCAGAAGTAAAGATGAAGTGTGTTATAAATTGACGCAGAGGCACAGATCTTAAGTGCTAAAAATTCTTTCACATGTGTTTTAATTTCACACAGGTTATTCCCAGCTTCTCATTCTTTTTTCTTAATAAATAAATAAATTAATTAATTAATTAATTAATTTTTGGCTGTGTTGGGTCTTCGTTGCTGCGCACGGGCTTTCTCTAGCTGCGGTGAGCAGGGGCCACTTTTGTTGCGGTGCGGTGGCTTCTCTTGTGGAGCATGGGCTCTAGGCGTGCGGGCTTCAGTAGTTGTGGCACACGGGCTCAGTAGTTGTGGCTCGCGGGCTCTAGGGCGCAGGCTCAGTAGTTGTGACGCACAGGCTTAGCTGCTCCACGGCATGTGGGATCTTCCCAGACCAGGGCTCGAACCCGTGTCCCCTGCATTGGCAGGCGGATTCCTAACCACTGCACCACCAGGGAAGTCCCAGCAGCTTCTCATTCTTAGTAATTAGGGTTCTAATTATTACTTGAGTTTACGTAACACGGACAGCAAAGAAGAGGCAAAACCTGAGGCCAGAGGACAGGAATTTTAGTGGTGATCCTGTCATATTTTCAGTGTGTTTCAGAACACTTCTGAGCCTTCTTTAAACAGAACTTGCAGCAGAAAAATTAACTCACTAGTGCGTGAACAGCATGAACAGTTTCTATTGCTTCGAATAGTGTGTTGCAAGAGTTTTAGAAAACTGGAATGTTCTTGTACATTTGAAAGCACGGTGTAAACTGTTGTAGCCACTGAAGTACCTTAACTCATCAGCGTTGATCCCGGTCACATCAGCGCTTCCCAGTCACCCGTGGAACATCCTGGAGAACGTTCCAGGGCTCCCGACCGCAGGTGCCGTCCCTTCGTCAGCTGTGGTCGGACCTCCAGCCATTTGTCACGATGGAGGCATCGCAAGAGACTCCGGGCGGGTCAGTCCCCTGAGGCTCTTTGAGGGGCTCCTGTTTGGTCTGGATCAGAAGGCAGAAACCCTGTTGTTTTTTTGTTTGTTTGTTTGTTTTGCGTTACGGGCCTCTCACTGTTGTGGCCTCTCCCATTGCGGAGCACAGGCTCCGGAAGAGCAGGCTCAGCGGCCATGGCTCACGGGCCCAGCCGCTCCGCGGCATTTGGGATCTTCACAGACCGGGGCACGAACCCGTGTCCCCTGCATCGGCAGGCGGACAGACTCTCAACCACTGCGCCACCAGGGAAGCCCAGAAACCCTGCTTTAAAACCCATTGAGCACGTTTGTATGAACTTACATTTTGAAACAGGTGACCGTGTGGCAGCAGTAGCAAGAAAATGTAATCTCAGGAGCCTTGTCAAGATCACGGTACTAATGCTGTTGAGATTTGTGGAAGCGTGTGGTAGTTACAGTCAGATACGGGGACTAACATTACTTGTGGTGTTTACTGTTAAGCACCCATTGTTTTCTCTCTTGATGTAAAAAAGGAATGTGTTTATTGTGGCTTCAGCGTTAGAGTAGGGAATTCCAAACGACATTTGCCCTGTCATGATGTAATGTCCTCCCCGTTGGCCCTGTCATGATGCAATGTCCCTCCCCGTTGGCCTTCAGCCTGTCGCCTCTGGTCGTTCAGTGTTTCCTTTCCTCTTGGATCCGTGGAAGTGGTGGTGTTCCCTTCCTGCCGTCCGCATCTGTTACCAGCTGGACCACTGACGCAGCCGCTGTTTGACGCCCTGTCTTTCAGCCGACTACCTGGCGCAGGCGTTTGACTCTCTGTGTCTGGACTTGAAGGCGGATGAAGGGAAGAGCCTGTTCTTGGAGTACCAGGCTGTCCCCGTGGTGCTGAGCCACCTGAAAATTTCCAGCAAAGGGCTCCTGTCCTGCGTCATCGACAGCCTGCTGCAGATGACTGTGGAATCCAGTGAGTGTTACGTCTCTTCTGACAGTGTGACTCTGCGGGTCAGGCCCTGGTGCCTCTTATACCCTAAATGCTGTGTGGTAGAGTCTTTAGTCCCACCCCTGACCCTTCGTCCACATTTCCACGAACTTGGCGCAGTCTCCAGGGGGCCCCAGTTGTGTGGATCCGCTCTGCGGCGTCACTCCCATCCTCGAGCCTCTCTCTGCGCTCTGTGTCCCGTGTTGTCCCTGAGGCTGGGAGGGAGTGGGGCCCTCAGACACGTCCCCACCTGCAGCGGGGTGGGGACCCGGTTCCCTTCGGCGGTCGTGCTGGGGTAACGCGCTCTTCTGACTTGCGGGTGGTGGCCCCTCACCTAGCCCGGATACGGACGGGGGTGCCGAGCCCGGGTGCTCTGGTCGCTTTGGCTGCCTTGTTGTTTGGACCCCAGGTGAGCTCTCGACTTGTAAGAAGCAGCCATTTAGCTTCGGTCATTCCTTTTCACGTGGAGCTGCTCCTTTTCCCTGTGTTGCATTTCGGATTATGCCTTTCAGGAAGCGGAGCCACAGACGGGAAGCCCGAGCTCAGCCTGGGAGTGGGCGCGCGAGGCCGGGTGCCCGGTGGCCGGCCTCGGGCAGGGGGTTTGTAGGCAAGACACAGAAGCAAAGCGAAGCACCTGAGTATTTGTGTCTAACACGATGTTTGCCTTATTTGGCTGTTAGGATCGTCGTTCTTGAGTTCGGTTTCTCAGATTCTGGTTGGGTTCTGCTCTGTCTGGTGGGCTGTGACCTGGGGGGACTGGAGCCACCTAGTCTGGTGGCCACCTTGTTTACTGACTGTCGTGACAGTATTTGGGGAAAGTGTGCTGGGTTCCCGGCGCCTGGCCCTTGGCGTGGAGGTGGAGAAGCGGTGGGAGCTCCGCCCGTCCTGGGCCTCTGCCGCCGCAGGGCCCCTTCTCTGCCCAGCCCCGCTGCTCCCCGGGCGTGAGGGCTGCCCTTCGCTGTGCAGGCAGAGTTCTTTGAAAGCTGCTGTGACGCGTTTCCTTGAGTGTAAATTGAGGTCTGTGCATTGATTTACCTGAACATACGTATAGTGTGCACACTGTTATTTTTAGATTGAGGGCTTCTGATTATGTTTTGGGCGTGAATGTAAATCGTACAATAACTGAGCAACATGCTTTTAGAAAACTACTCGGCGGTTTCTTGTTTTTCTTCCTGTCAGTGGTGAAAGCTGCTACTTATCTGGGTTTAGCTGTGTAAGGACATGAATCTTACTTTATTTTAATATCTTTTTTTTTTTTTTTTTTTTTTTGCGATAAGCGGGCCTCTCACTGTTGTGGCCTCTCCCGTTGCGGATCGCAGGCTCAGCGGCCATGGCTCACGGGCCCAGCCGCTCCGCGGCACGTGGGATCTTCCCAGACCAGGGCACGAACCCGTGTCCCTTGCATAGGCAGGCAGACTCGCAACCACTGTGCCACCAGGGAAGCCCTTACTTTATTTTAAAGAATACTTTCCTTTTCTTGTCAGACGTAGTTTTATTTTAAAGAATACTTTCCTTTTCTTGTCAGACGTAGTTTAAATAGAACGTTTAAGTTTGTGTTTGTATTGTTAGTTTATTCTCTTGTGTGCCCCAGAAACCATCTTGTCCAAGGTGACACACCTGAATGGCAACAATGTATTTGAGTACATTTTGCACACCTTGTTTTTTTCAAGTATAATTTACTTTTATTATAAAAGTAATAGAAATTTGGAAACTGGCAAAGAAACAAAAAGTCTTAGTATCCAAAAATATGTACATTTGCAAGCACACCCTGCTCTATTGTGCTTTTTCCAGGTACTCCTTTTTTTTTTTTTTTTTTTAAACATACTGAAGGTTTCTGGCAACCCTGCCTTGAGCAATCCTGTTGGCACTATTTTTCCCCCAGCATTTGCTCACTTCCTGTCTCCGTGTCACATTTTGGTAATTCTCAGTGTTTCAAACTTTTTCATTATTATTGTATTTGATACGGTGATCTGTGATCAGTGGTCTTTGATGTTACTCTTGTAATGGTTTGGGGGGGGTCATGAACTGCACCCTTAGAAGATGGTGAACTTAATGTGTGTGTTCTGACTGCTCTGCCGGCCGCTGTTCCCTGACACACAACAGTATTGAAGTTAGGCCAGTTAATACCCTACAATGGCTCAAAGTGTTCAAGGGAAAGGAAGACTCACACTTCTCTCACTTTAAATCAAAAGCTAGAAATGATGAAGCTTAATGAGGAAGGCATGTCGGAAGCCAAGACAGGCCTAAAGGCAGGCTTCTTGCAACAAACACTTAGCCGAGCTGTGAGTGCAAAGGAAAAGCTCTTGAAGGGAATTAAAAGTGCTCCTCCAGCGAACACACAGATGCTAAGAAAGCAAAATAGCCTTCTTGCTGATTGCAGAAAGTCTCGGTGTCTGGATAGAAGATGAAACCAGCCACAACGTTCCCTTAAGCCAAAGTCTAATCCGGAGCAAGGCCCTGACTCTCTTCAGTTCTTCTAAGAGATGTGAGGAAGCTGCAGGAGAAAAGTCTGAAGCCAGCGAGGTCGGTTCATGAGGTTTCAGGAAAGAAGCTGCCTCCATAACATAAAAGAGCGAGAGGAAGCAGCAAGTGCTGGTGGAGAAGCTGCAGCAAGTTATCCAGAAGATGCAGCTAAGTAATTCATGAAGGTGATATGAAAAACTAGGGCTGAAAGCTTACCAGTTTGAGGAAAGACATGGTTTTACAAATCTAAGAAACTAACCAAATTCCAAAGCTCAGTGAAGTTCAGGATAAACCCAGAGAGACCCACACGGAGACACATGATATTAAACTGTCAAAAGTCAAACACAGAGAATCTTGAAGGCACAAGAGAAACTGTGGTCTGCACACAACGGAATATTATTCAGCCTTAAAAAGGAAGGAAATTCTGGCACCTGCTACACCTTGGATGAGCCTTGAGGACATTATGCTCAGTGCAATAAGCCAGATAACAGAAGGATGTATGATTCCACTCATGTGAGAGCCCTAGAATCATCAGATGTATAGAGACAGGAAGTAGGATGGTGGGGGCAGAGGCTGGAGGGGTGGCTGGTGTTTCACGGGGACACAGTCAGCTGGGGAAGATGAAGAGCTCGGGGTGCGGGGGAGGTCGGGGGGATGTTTGCCCAACGGCGTGAATGCACTTCACACTAACAAAGACTACACTTTTATAAATGGTCAATTTTATGTTACACATGTTTAACCACAATTTGAAAATTAAATATAAATGAACTTTTAGTACTCAAAAAAAAAAAACCACCACCATTCAAGCAGGGCAGAACTGTAGAGAGCATTAAGTGTTTTTTTCCAAAATAATCCCTGGAAACGTTGTCATTTGGAAATACCCATCATCAGTGTTCAGTGGATGTGATTGCAGACACCGTCCTGTGCGTGTGTCCTTGGAGGAGGGGGGCGGGTGGGTGGGTGGCAGGTGGAGATGCTGTAACACAGGGGGCTCATTACACACGTTATTTAGTGAGACGTGCTTAATCTAACAGGAAAAATGAAGTGGAGTGGAGTCAAAAATGATCACAAGCTCCTTCTGTTAAGAAATAAGGTGAAAGACATCAAGTCTCTCTATTTTTACCTTTTTTATTGTAAAATATATACAACATACAATCTCCCATTTTAACCATTTTTAAGTGTGCCCTGTTGGCTGCACCGCTCGGTTTGGGCAGTGCTGACAGCCAGCCGTGGAAGGTGGGGCACTGGCACCACCGCTCTTTCCTTCTCCCCACCCCCACTTCCTGGCCATTTAGCTTGTGTCTTTCCTGTGACCGCAGAATCTGCACATTTCCTTCATGCTAGTTTCTTCTTACTTTACTTTATGTTAGTTTTACATTTAATCACATTCAGCGCTCAGGATTAGTCCTTTGACTGCAACCTCTGCATTTCTGTTCTTAATTCTCAATGATCTCTTTTTTTTTTAAATTAATTAATGAATTAATTTTATTTATTTATTTTTGGCTGCGTTGGGTCTTCGTTGCGGTGCGCGGGCTTCTCACTGCGGTGGCTTCTCTTGTTGCGGAGCACGGGCTCCAGGCGTGCGGGGCTCCAGGCGTGCGGGCTTCAGTAGTTGTGGCTCACAGGCTTCAGTAGTTGTGGCTTGCGGGCTCTAGAGCACAGGCTCAGTTGCTCCACGGCATGTGGGATCTTCCTGGACCAGGCCTCGAACCCGTGTCCCTGCACTGGCAGGCAGATTCTTAGCCACTGCGCCACCAGGGAAGTCCCTGAACGATCTCTTAATCTTGCTCCCTCGCCTGTGTGCACCCCCCAGTTTAGGAGGTGCTGTGGAGGCTGCTCCGTGTTGTGCTGGAAGCGCTGCCAGGGCGCCTACACTCAAGGAGGCCCCGTCTGAGTGCTCATGCTGGGTCGCATGTGGTGCTTCGCGGCTGTCTCGAGAGGCCAGAGGGCAGCCCGGCCTTCCCAGCAGTGGTGCCCTGCTGCTCTCCTGGGTGGTTGATAGCTGCTTCCTCCCTCAGGCCCACGGTGTAGCCCTTAGATGTTGCCTGGGTTGCTGTTGTGCTCGTTGGATCTGCAGGTCCAGTTCTGTGTCCACTTAGCATTTCACATATAACATAATATGTAATATTTTTCTTTTATTAACTTTATATCGTTAGGAACACCAGTTGTCCTCATGGATCTTTTTTGATGGTTTTCCATATCTTGGCTTCTTTCTGGTCCTTTCATTTTTGTTTTCATTCTCTGTGATGATCGGATTGTTATGATAGTAATCTAATTTTCAGCTCTGTCTTTTCAGTTTCTTGATGTTTTAATTTATTACTTCTTTAATGGTGGTGTTTTGATTCCCTCTCTCTTAAATCCTGTTTATCATCTTTTCTTTCTTATTTTATTGACTAGCCTTGTTCTTATTAGGTTAACTGAGACCTCAGAACTCTTATGGAAAACTGTTCTTTGTGTTTTCTTTTAGGTTTGACTCTGCCTTGTGTGTGCTATATCCCTTTCTGATTGATTGATTGGTTGATTGATTGCTATAACATGCTCACCGAGTTGACGTGCTGTCTTTTTAAAATCTATTTTATACATATTAGTGTATATATGTCAATCCCAATCTCCCAATTCATCCCCCCCCTGCCCCCCCGCTTGGTGTCCATACGTTTGTTCTCTACGTCTGTGTCTCTATTTCTGCCTTGCAAACCGGTTCATCTGTCTCTGATGACTCCGGTTCCCTGTCCTCGTGGATGGGGTGGGCCTTCTACACTCTGCCTACCATTCGTCCCAGTCCAGGTCTTCTCTCCCTTCCGTGCCACAGTTTGAAAGCCGTTTCCCCTAATGTATCCATTCTTTCCTGTAGCCGGTGGCTCTGGTGGTGACGTGCTCCTTCCCAGATTCTCAGGGCTGTGTTCTCACTTCTCACATTCTGCTAAAATATCTCGTTTGGGTTCATTTAACCTAGTTAATGGGAGGCGTGGGTGTCCTGTTCTCATAGAGAAATTCTCTTGGCTTCAGCTGGTTCCCAGTACAGTTCGCTCTGGGACATTGTTTTCAGTTGATTCCCTGTCAGAAGAGTGAAGAGGCGGCAGTGGCTCCTCTGCGGGTTTGCGGGGCGGGGG